ACTCATTAAAGCATGTGAGTATGTATGAATAATAATTATTCTGCTTGTTATCCCTTTTTTAGATTTACTTTTATTTTTTAAATTTGTAAAAATTCACCTTTTTCTGTGTAAGAGCTGGTAACTAAAAATAAAAAATAAAAATAAGATTTACATTTTACTTATTTGTTTTTGATATATTTGTACATATTTATGAGGTGCATGTGAAATTTTGTTACATGCATAGAATGTGTAATGATCATGGTGTATTTTTTTTTTTTTGATGTGCCACTGGATTTGATTTGCTAGTATTTTGTTGAGGATTTTTGCATTCGTGTTCATCAGGGATATTGGCCGATAGTTTCCATTTATTTTGTTGGATCCTTGTCTGGTTTTGGTATCAGAGTAATAATGCTAGTCTTGCAGAATTAGAGAGTTATAGAAAGTTCCCTCATCTTCAGTTTTTTGGAATAGTTTGAGGAGGATTGGTATTAGTTATTCTTTATACATTTGGTAGGATATTGCAGTAAATCCATCCAATCCTGGCTCTTTCTTTGTTGGAAGATTTTTTATTACTGACTCAATCTTGCTCCTCATTATTTGTCTGCTCAGGTTTTCTATTTTTTCCTAATTCAACTTAGTTCAAACTTGAACAAGTTTGAATCTTTATTGAAACTTAGTTCAAACAAGGTTGTATGTTTCCAGGAATTCATTTCCTCTAGGTTTTCCAGTTTGCTAGCATAAAAGTTTGTTAGCTGTTCGTAATAGTCTCAGATGATCTTTTCTTTCCTTGTGGTATCAGTTGTAATGTCTCCTTTTGCGTTTCTGATTTCGCTTATTTGGAGCATCTCTCTTCTTTTCTTGGTTAGTCCAGCTAGTGATTTATCAATTGTTTTTGTCTCTTCCGCACAACAAATCTCAATAAACGTTTAAAAACTGAAATCATACCAGGTATCTTCCTGGACCACAGTGGAATAAGACTAGAAATCAGTTCCAAGAGGAACTCTTGAAACTGTACAAATTAACATACTCCCGAACACATTTCGTTTTGATTGGGATCTGTTGCTGGAGAATTATTGTGTTTCTTTGGAGGTATCCTATTTCCTTGGTTTTTCATGTTTTCTGTATCCTTCCATTGATATCTGTGCATTTGATATAACAGTCACGTCTTCCAATTTTTAAATTTTGCTTTTATGGGGGAGGATTTTTTTAAAAGATATGTCTATGGTGTTGGTTGGGTAGGGCACTTTGGCGTTGATTCTGGGTGCATGCAGTAGGATAGTTTTGAAACCTCTTTTGCAAAATTATAACAGTAAGAGAAATCTGACATGGCTGACTCTATCTTGCCTCTAGCCCCACAGGTTGGCTGCCCCAGCTCATTCCTGGGCGTAGGCCAAGTTAACTTTGGGAGAAGTTTATAGTTTGAGTGATAATAGTCCTTTCTCAAAATTAAACTGTACTTACAAAACTAATGAAAGACTGCCAAGTTAGGAGGATGAGAGGGGCTTGAATTCTAAATAATTACCAGCCATTATTTGGAAGTCATAAGATTTGCAACTTCCCCAGTTACTTGCAGATAACATCACTATTGTGGAACCTGAGGTTGGCCTTTTGAGATGTCTTTTCAGGTTTTTGCATTTCTGACAACTGGATGGCCGCACCTGGACCTGCCACACCGTCCTGTGGCCCTCATCCCGGAACTGACCCAGCACAAGAGGGCAGCTTTGATTCCCTATGGTTTTATCTCTGACCCAACCAATCAGTATGTCCCCTACCCTACCTACCCCTACCAAACCATCTAACCCCTAACCTCCGAGCCTTCATGGAGATTGAGTTGAGTAATAACTCCATTTCCCGTGCGGTGTGGCCGGCCTCAGATCAACTAAAATCTTGCTTTACTGCAATGACATGGTCTCAGTGAGTCAATTTTGTTTATGGAAGGGCAGGAAGACCCTTTGGGCAGTTACAGTGTTTGATTTCTTTGGCTTTAAACAGCATCCATGGTATCAGTGATTTCTTCTGTGGCTCAGAGTGTGGTTGTTAGTGGAGGCTGTGGTGAAGTTTTGCTGGGAACTAGGGCACCAGGTAGGCCAGTGTTTGGGCCCCAGTGGTGGCAGCAATGAACTGAGCATGGGGGTCCTTGGACCCCATGATGTACACTGTGACTAGTATTAGGAAGCCCGGCAGGCTGCTGCTTGGGTCTCCAGAAGGCTTGCTCGGGTGCCAGGAATGGCAGTGGTGGGCCAGGTGGATTGATGGGTTCTTGAGTGTCTAGGCAGTGGATGTGATGTGGACAATGGCAGTAGCAGTGGTGGGACAACCCTCTGGGACCCCAGTGGTCCTTGCTGGTGTTGGTGGTAGCTAGCATAGGTTGGGCAAGTCAGTTGCCAGAGGTGTAGGTGGCATATGTGGGTGGGTGCCAGCTGTGGTGGTAGCAACAGGTTGTGTGGGCCTAACCTCAGATGCTGGGAGGAGTACTCATGTGCCACTGGTGGTGGGCTGGGCTCTGCGGTTCCCAGGCTCCTGGATGATGTGCTCAGGTATTGCAGGGGTTGTAGCCAGGCTGGGCAATGCCCTCAGGTTCCCCAGTGGTACAGGCAGATGCTGACTGCAGTGGGCCAGAGTGGAGTGACCCCAAGGCCATATGTTGGGCTGTAGCCTTTCTAGTGATGAAGGCAGAGTTGTTTTTTTCTGTTTTGTTTGTTTTTTGAGATGAAGTCTCACTCTGCCCAAGCTGGAGTGCAGTGGTGTGATCTTGGCTCACTGCAACCTCTACCTCCCGGGTTCAAACGATTCTCCTGCCTCAGCCTCCCGAGTACCTGGGATTACATGCATCCGCCACCATGCCCGGCTACTTTTTATATTTTTAGTAGAGGTGGGGTTTCACTATATTGGCCAGGCTGGTCTTGAACTCCTGACCTTGTGATTTACAAAGTGCTGGGATTACAGGCATGAGCCACTGCACCTGGCCTGTTTTTCTTTGTCATCCAGGCTTTGAAAACACATGGCTGCCCCTCTGCTGGGGCAGATTGCTACCTGTGGCTCCTGTTGCTGTCCAGGCAGCAGGCTCAGGCAGCTGCCCAGGATGCAGTCTGGTATGGGCTGAGCTCTCAAAATGGTGCTGTGCTGCAGCTGCTTAGGACGTTGGAGTTGGTGGGACCCAGCATGAGTTCTCTTTCTGGGGTAATGCCTTCACGTGGTTTCCAGGGAGCTCCCTGTGTTAGTCTCATGGCCGTGAAGGTCAAGGGACTCTCCCATGGCTAGGGTTGTAGGAGTCAGCAGTGGGAATATGAACTGCTGGAGATCTCCCAGTTACTCTTTTCCCTCACTAGGAGGCCTCCCCAGACTTTCAACTGATCCCAGCCAAACAGGTGGCCTTTCTTTCTCTCCTTCCTTGCTTTTGGTGCATCTGTTAGAGTAGGTAGTTAGGCAGGCAAGGGCAGGGCAGGAGAGGCACCCAACCCAGGAATGTCAGGTGACCGTCAGGTGATAGTCAGGTGGTTGTTAAACTGTCTCTGTAAAATAATAATCAGTTGCAGCTGGCGCCAGGGACCAGCAGGCTCCTAGTAGACAACACCTGAAGCTGGTGATCATCAGCTTCTCAATAAAATCTCAGGAGTTGGGTGAGCAGGCTCAAGCATGTGCACTAAGAGGCAAAATGGAGGCGTTTAACTGATACCTGATTTTCCTCTGGGAACATTTGACTGGTAAGGGAAAAAAAGCCTCAAATGAGCATATGCACAACTTTAGTAAACCCATGGTGCGTGTGCCCCCACCCCGCCGTCTAACCCCGCCAAATGCTGGCAGGCCATTGTGCGTGCAGACAGCTCACCCCAAGGGAAAATCAAGGGAGGAGAGATGCAAATTCCAGAACCACACCAATGTATATATACCCCAAGTCAAAGGCTGAATAGGGCACTTGGATCTCTTGAGTCGCGTGCTTGGCCCTTTTTCAAGGGTACTTTACTTCCTTTCATTCCTGCACTAAAACTTTTTAATAAACGTTCACTCCTGCTCTAAAACTTGCCGCCTTGGTCTCTCCCTCTGCCTTATGCCCCTTGGCCAAATTCTTTCCTTAGAGGAGGCAACAATCAAGTTGCTGCAGACCCCTGTAGATTCACCACTGGTAACGCCTCCCATCACTTCTCTGTTGAATTCTAGTATTCTCTTGTAAGTTCCAAGAGTGATTACCTACTCACTCTCTGTGGTTACTGTCTGTGGAAGAAGCAAGTACCAGACACATCTAGTCAGCCATCTTGAAGCCCCCCCCAGGACTCAGCTTATGTTATCTTTTAATGTTAAGATAATAACTGGAGTAGTTTTTTTTCAAGTGGGTTTAATGTATATGCTATTTTGATTTTTGAATTTTTTTTTTTTTTTGTAAGAGTCTTACTCTGTCACCCAGGCTGGAATGCAGTGGCACAATCCTGGCTTGCTGCAACCTCCACCTCTCAGATTCAAGCAATTCTCCAGCCTCATCCTCTCAAGTAGCTGGGACTACAGGCATGCACCACCACACCCGGCTAATTTTTTGTATTTTTAGTAGAGACAGAGTTTCACAGTCTTGGCCAGGCTAATCTCAAACTCCTGACCTCAGGTGATCTGCCTATCTTGGCCTCCTAAGAAAATAGTTTTTAATTGGATTATAAGTCCATCAATATTATGTCAATTTATTGATTGAGATATAAAAATTTTAAGTAAGTATATAGCTATTCAAGTGCCCCCTTTCACTCTCTAAAGGGTACCAGTTTGGACAACAAATTACATGTTCATCCTTATTATAGCTGAAGCAGTAAGTGTCTTAAACCATTGTCTATTCCCTAATGAAAACTGGAAGAAACCAGGGCATCAATCCTTTCATGTTTTTGATAGGTGTGCATTAGAGATGTTCGTGGTAGGGAGAGTTAGAACAAAAAGGAGTCAACAAGGAGATAAAGAAGGAGGATTCATAAACATTTCTCCACATGTAAGAAACAAAGTTTTCATTAAGAGATAAGTATATTGAGCTACTGTATGGATCTTACCTCTAAATTCATCAGCAAGATTCTTGGAACTTGGATTCTGAAATTTGACATACTTATCTGTCCACCACGTAAGTCCACTCTTTAGCATTGGCACTTTGATTTGTACAGATGAATTAATGTTGTGTGAAAGAATTATGGTGTCTGTAAGGAAATTAAAAATTATGTTAGAGATGCAGTCTAGCAATTTTGCCACCCTTTGAAATGCAGAACCAGACACAGCTGACAAATCAGGGATTTTGCAGACTCTCAACACGCCTACATGCCATGGATGCTGGAATCACAAGACCATTCTTTTTCCTGCCAAAATTGAGCCAATTATTGAAAAATACCCTTAAGCTCCATTTAACTCATGTTCCTTGACTATTCCTTCAGATGTTTGGCAAGAGAGGAATTATTTGCAAATGACATACTGTAAGTCAGTGCTCTGACTTAGTCCAGATGATGTTTACCGAATTAAAATGGAACAAAACAAAAAGCTGCCAGTTAGCTTCAGAGGTGAATTTCTGGACATTTAGGTTGTTACACACTCATGAAAGGGTACACCATGGAGATAGGAAAAGTCACCTACCATTGAACATGCTGTTGGCAATAGCACCACAAGGAACGATGGGGGTCTTATTGTTGGACATTTTAAATGGGGCACAGTCCTCAACAGCCTGGATGCAAGAGGATACAGCAATGAGACATGCTTTTGGTAAACTCTCTTAGAATGTTAAAAGTGAGAACATTGGCAATGTAAATCACCCCCCCAATGACTTATTGGCAGTGACTAAGATTACAGACTGCTGCCTGGTTTTCCTAGGCTTCTGGTTTACTTAGACTGGGAAATTTTTGTGTTTTGGAGATACGTATGTGTGTGGATGTGTGTCTCTGTGTTTTTTCCTCATTTACATAGCATACCTAAAATGTCTGCAAGAAGGAACTTTACCTTACTGGCTGTGCTATATATCATGCTAAACCTATAATGAAGTACACTTTAAAAACCTCTTTTTATTGACATGTAGCTTATTTTATTTTAGTGGTTAAAACAGTAACAACTTACTTTTCACTTGTATCACTATCTAATGGGGTTGTGGAGGTGGGGGGGGGGGGGACTTTGTTCCACACAATCACTCAGGGCCTCGGCAATATTGAAGTATTACATTCAGAAAAATATAAAAATCATGAGTCTACAACTAGATGACTTATCACAGGGAATCCATCCACACAACTACCAAATACATTTTTAAAAGAGTGGTTGCTAAAAATCACTTTAGTATAATAATGTTGCTATGGAAAAAAATTTCATTCTAGCTTTTCTTACGCACGCTGAGTATCATCTACCAAGAGTAAAAATGTATAATCATAGGTTTTAAAAGGTATTCGATTAAAGCAAAAGGCTTTTACTCAATCGAATAGAGACTAATTTCCTTAAAGTAGGCTGGATTGAAGGCCCCAATGACAGGAAGGACAATGGTAGTTAGGCTCAGCCACGCTGAGACTAACTACTCAAGGTTGCTATCAAAATGGTGCATGAAAGGATCACCATTCAGTTGGACAAGATTCACATCACTGCTCTAAAGAGGGAAAGTGCTACTTTTCAATAACAGTTATCCTGAATACCCAGTCCCTTCAGTTTACACAAGAATGAAATCAGCATTTCTGTTTTGTAGCATTTGAGTTTATCTTCCATCTCTTCTTTTAGACTGAAAAATCCACTTGGTTTAAAAAAAAGAAAGAATATTATACCAGATTAAATCAAGCCTTACTTTTACATCTTTGCCCACCAGTTGTCTATTACTTCTGGATCGAACATATCGATACAGGTTCTGATAGAAGCCATACAATTTGTAGTACATATAAACATTACCCTGTGTGGAAGAAAAGAAGTAAGAGGAGAGTAAGAAAAATTAACTGGAATATTAATAAACATGGACAGGAAATTTTAAAATAAAAGCACAGAAAAAAATTGATAGAAACTCAAAGCCTATTTATGGGAAATAGAAACCCAATAAATCATTTAAAAAAAATCAATTTTGGGACTGGGCACAGTGGCTCACGCCTATAATCCCCGTGCTTTGGGAGGCCAAGGCAGGAGAATCACTTGAGGCCAGGGGTTTGAGACCAGGCTGGGCAATGTAGCAAAACCCTGTCTCTATAGTAAAAGAAGAAAAATTAGGCCGGTGTGGCATGTGCCTGTAGTTCCAGCTACTCCAGAGGCTGAGGAGAGGATCCTTTGAGCCCAGAAATTCAAAGTTACAGTGAGCTATGATCATGTCATTGCACTCTAGCCTGGGTGACAGACTGAGACCCTATCTCAAAAAAAAAAAAAAGAAAAAAATTACAGTGGGAAATCCTGGTCTATACAGAATTGTTGGAATAACTAAATAACTATTTTTGCATGTTTTTTTAAGGGCTGCTACATTCTTTTCTTTGAAAAATTTTTATAATCAAGCATATTTTCAATACATAAAATTTGGTTTTATAAATGTTGTCATTTCCCAGAAATATGAGGAAAAATGCTTTGCTTAGAGGTTGTGGTTGACAGCAAAAATCACGTGATTTTACAGCAAATCCATGAAAAAGAATTTAAAATTCAAGCCATTGAGCATATTTAGGTGCATCTGTACACTGAGCCTGTGAAAGGCATGAGACTGGAAGCTGCTTGCAGTCCCACTCTAGGAATTTATTTATTTATTTATTTATTTATTTATTTATTTTTAATTTATTTTTTTTTGAGATGGAGTCTCGCTCTGTCGCCCAGGCTGGAGTGCAGTGGCGCCATCTCGGCTCACTGCAAGCTCTGCCTCCTGGGTTCATGCTATTCTCCTGCCTCAGCCTCCCAAGCAGCTGGGACCACAGGTACCCGCCACCGTACCCTGCTAATTTTTTGTATTTTTAGTAGAAACGAGGTTTCACTGCCTTAGCCAGGATGGTCTCCATCTCCTGATCTCGTGATCCACCAGCCTCAGCCTCCCAAAGTGCTGGGATTACAGGCGTGAGTCACCACGCCCGGCCTAGAATTTTTGTTTTTTTAAATCTCTAGGATCTAATGCAGTACCTGGCACATAATACTTGCTTAAGAAATGGTGAACTATTTGTTATAGAGAAAAAGATGGAATAATTCACTGATCCAAAAGAAAGAAGGTGATTTTCACCCTAGCAATAAGTAGCCTTGTTGTCAGGAGAGAGGTGTCTTTCACGTATGCTGCCATGTAAGTAAGGCTGCCCAGCCACTACCTACCACCATGGTTCTACCTTTATGGTAATATATTAAGGCCCTGGAAATTCTCCAGACAGACTTGATACAGATTTTATTAATAGCACATATGGAAATATCCATATGGATTTAACATATTCATAGATTTTACTAACAGCACATATAGAAATGTCCCATGTAGCTGTTTAAAATGAATACACTCCATACCTCCAAAATAATGAAGACCTGAATCCAAAAATATAAAAGCCTAACTTTTATTAAGTGCTTCCCATGTGTTAGGTGCTATATTCAGTGCTAGAAGTACAAAAGCATTCCTTTATAAGTCCCTGAGTCCATTGATTCTTTTACCCTGTGCAAAAACAGCATTTTGGAAAGGCTTTGGCCTTATTTCCTAAGGACCTTAAGAGCATCTTCTTTAAGATGAGTATGGAAAATGGGAGGTGGTACCCATGGTAAATAGGGAAGGAAAGTCATGGTAAATGTGGCCAGCTTTAGAATGCAAGAAAGGCTGAAGAGCTCAGTCACTTGTAAGAGAATAATTTCTGGAACACTGAAAAAGGAGATGCTGGGCCATGGCGAAGAAGCAGGCTGCATCGTAGTCAACAGGGAGTGTTGGCATGAAGGCAAGCAAGCCAGGCTTAGTGGGAAGGACCCATTACGTTTCCTCATCCAAAGCAGGAACCTCTATTGTTGACCCATGACGATAGAAAATATGAAATCCACAGAATGGAACTTACCATACGTTTTCTTGGAAGCTAAAAAGAGAATTCTACTTAATCAGAGTTATATGTTCACGTAAATGACAAAATAAACAGGCACAGAATACTCGGCACACTAGGGACTGGGGCGTTTCCATAACCTCTTTTCAGTGATTCTTTGTCCAAGATTTAGCTGAACGAGGCCTCCAAGATCATCTTCTTGATGGTCCCTGGAGGCACAATTCACTTTATGGTGTTTCTTCTCTTTAAATTCAGTGGCACTTGGTGCAGGGTTTCTTTGCTTATTTTAAGACAGAGTGTGCGTGGATTCATTGCTGTGGTTCCCCAGTGTCATGCATGGTAGCTGCCGAGCTGAAGGCCCTGTGATTGCTCTAAGTAGTTTAGTTGGGTTTTTATGAGAAGGCTCTGCCTGAAGGGAATGGTTAGCAGCTGGTAACACTTCATTTGCTGTTTTAGTTTTGAAGGACACTGACAGATGGGAATTGAAGCCCTTTTGGATTTTTTTTTTTTTCCAAAAACTTTAGCATTCTGAGCCCTCAAGACAAAAGGAGAGAGGAAAGAAGAAAGGAAGGAAGGAGGGTAGTGAGAGAGGGTGAAGAGAGTGAGGGAGGAAGGGCCAAGACTGCAATGCATTCTTAAAGTTTCAGCAAGGCTGACAGGAAATCCCCAAAGACATCCATCAGAAGAGTCCCCACTCCCAGGAAAGAACCTACCTCGATGTCCCTGCTGTGCTCAGCCACTGGCTGAGGTGGCCGTGGAAGCATGACCTTGGTGCAAACACACAGTGATTTCAGAGCACAGCAGCTGGTGATATCCCTCAATTACACTCCCTGCAGTAGATCTGAGAGGAGCCTTTTCATGGCCTTCACAGTCTTACTTGTTAGTCAAGACTTAATCAAATGAAAAATTTGATTTCCTTCAACTCTTCAAATGTACTTTAAGGTCCTGTTCTGTTTCTGGACTCTGCACCTTTCCCCCTGCAGCATCCTCCACACAGACCTGGTCCCCCATCCTTCCCCTTCATAAGTGACTCTACATGGGCTGAATCTAGGTACAGGGCGGCCTTCTCTTGAGCTGCTCACTGAGCATTCTACCTCAAGCCCTGCTCCCACCTCAAATTCAGCTGGTTCCAAACCAGACTCATCACCTCCTGAAAAATATTCCTCACTTCTCTCCTCCCCTCCCTCCTTCCTTCTCTCTTCCCCTCCCCTCCCCTTTCTAAGGATCAGTGCTCTCCCAACCTCCTCCTGCTCCTTCCCCATTTCCCCTCAGAGGCTTTGCCCAGTAAATCTCTCGGATGTCTAACCCTGTCTTGGCATCTGCTTCTCAGAGGACTTGACTAACATGAGACCTAAATCAACCCGTGAGTGGGGACTTCTCTCAGTATTTCTTTGGTATTTCTCACAGTGCCTGACAGCCAGACTGTCCCCTTGGGAATTAGGTAATTGCACATGTGGAATGACTTGGGGAGACCCAGGGAAGGTTTCCCCAAGTGTGTGACCCCTGACACCAACCTACTGTGTGACCTTAGCCAAGTTACTTCACCTCTTAGCCCATTAATTTTCTCACTATAAAATTTGTGGTTCAATTCAATGTAAATTCACACACAGTCCCTGTGCTGATATTTAGAGTAAAACCTGTTTGGTAGATAAGATTTATGTTACAAAGTTGGAAAGGTAAAGAATTGTGCAACTTAGAAACAAAGAAACAAAGGAGGAGAATAATACTCAAAAAGGAGGGAGGGGATATGAACTCAACACTCTTTCGGATTCACCACCACCATCCTGCTTTATTTTTTATATTTTCAGTTTTGGAAAGCATTTCATGGAAATTGTGAACTTACTTCTAAGTGTTACATAGGAATAGATCAGTGTAAAGTCAACTGAAGTTTCTTGAATTTCACCTACCATCATTTTTCCTGAAAGGTAAAAGGGAATAGAGCAGGTGCATTCTTTGTCAAAATTAGAGGCATTTTCCCGCAGTTTTGCACAATTTGCACATATTCTTGTGTAATTAATCTGTCAGGCAAGGAAAAAAATGATTAATTAAAAAGTTACATGGGTACATATCTTAAAATTCAAATCTGGAGTCCACCCAAGTCTCCGCCTGTCTGGGTCAGGCGCATAGTCTGGGACATGAATGCGGCAGCCCATGTGTAGGGCCGGTGTTTCTGGGGATGTTCAGGAGGTGCGGGCCTTCCCACAGTCTTTTATCTGGGGACTGGCAGCATTTTGCCACTGGCCCAGAGTTCAGTGTTTCTGTTGCATATTTATATAACCTGTTGTGATGAAGCTTTACCCCCGATCATAAAGAGGTGTCAGTTGCTAGGAAGGTATTAGTCAATGACTCATGAGAACTAGGCTTACAGCCTGAGTCTAATCAACTTTATGGGGAAGTCACTTCACTGTTTTTCCATTCTATTGTATGGAAAATATTTATACTAGTGAATTATTCTACATGGCATCCAGAGGAAGTTATTAAAAATGACCAAACAGAAAAAGAAGTGTTTCCAAAATGTAAGATTATTGACATATGTTGAATTATTCTGGTCCTAAAATGCTGTTGCATTCTGTTTTTTAAAAGTAAAATTCTGTGAAAAATAGTTTAATGGACTCTCTAAAAAAAGGAAAAAAAAAAAAAAAAAAGGGTAGTATGTCCCAAATGGGTGGCTCCTGTGAGCTCTGGCTGAGGCACTGAGTTCTGTGAAGATGCAGCTAGAAGAGTAAGGAGGAGAGGCTCCGGAGGGTGTGCACGGGGCTGTACTTCTGCCTGATCTGCAAGAATGTCCATCTCAGGGGCCCTGGGGCTGTCCTGGGTGCTGCAGTGGGCTGCTTCTGCCTTGCCCTCACTGTGTTGAGGAGTGATTAGACGATTATGGGAGTGTGAGGAGCAGGGAAGCAAGGGAGTAGCTTTCTCCTTGGTAAGGTGCTAGTAGAAGTTAGGATTCCTTTGAAGGGAAGACAAGGAAGACAGAAGGAATTTTGCGTACTTGTAAAGCTACTAAGGGTTTTGAAGCCCAAAGGTGAAGTGTGAACACTAAATTGAAGATTAGTGAAAATGCTACACTTCATTGTACTTAGATGCTTATATGTAGCTAAATCATTCTTTAAATACACAGCAAGACTTGAACTATTATTTTGAAAATATTTATGCCATTTCTGTTGGTGGACTACATTTCAATTTATAAAAAGCATTAAAGAACAGGGCCGTATCCCAATGGAGAGACAGCATACTGAATGGTGTCTGAGGAAACTGGGGTTCTAGTTCAGCCAATCTCTGACCTTGAGTTAAGTGCTTAACCTCTAGGGCCCACATTTTGCCCATCAACATCATTTCATGCAGCAATTAATTGATCTGTGAGGTCACTGTAGTAGTATACATGCTACTTCATGAATTCCTCTTGTGAGTTCTGTCCATGTAGTACTCAAGAAAATATTTCATGATCAAATAATTTTTGAGTAGTTGATATCCATGGTGCTTTTTTGCCTAAAAAATATCCCTTATCTATTGTCTATGCAATGACAGTATCCTCAGTTTGCTGCTTGAGTGGACTTGTACATGAATAGCTATGAGATGGAGCAATGATCAGTCTGCTTCTCATAGAATTTTGGAGAGGCAGAAATTATTCTTGTTTAAAGTGAACTGCAGAGAGAGAACATCCTTGTGCCCCAGGGCTAAGTGAGAAGAAAGGCTCAGAAGTCTTTTCTATGATGTCTGTGCCTGATCACATTGGCCTGGAGTGTGTACTCTATATTATCACCCAATAAAATGAAACACTGGTTTTTGAGTATAAAAATGAAGTGTCAGAAGCAGTCCTATCTGAAGCAACTAAAGAAACAAAGTTAGTTGGAAAATGCCTGTAGATTTCATGAGATAAAAGCATTCTGTTTGCGGAGTGGCCATGGCCAATAGTTGGTATGGAATGAGGTCACCTTCTCATGCATGGGTACGTCTTAGTGAAGGCTGCACTCCACAATGGGTGGGTGGGGGGCAGGGTTGCAAGGGAGGAAGAAAGAATGACATGGGAAGGAAGAACCAGAATGAAAGGGATTGGTGAGGAAGAAAGTAGAAAAGTAAATTGCGTGAACTCTGTGGAAATGGACATCAACGTTGTAAGCCCATTCCTTTGCTATCCCCTTCAGCAAGGTAAGGTTCATCTCCTCCTGCCATTTTGCCTTTGCCACATGGTGGAGGCTGGTGGGGGTTTACATGTAACACTGGAGGTCTGGCTGTCATTTAATTCCCAGGGAGATAAGCTCTGGGAGCTGGAAGTGGGGAGGAAAAAGTGTTAAGTAGAGAGGCAACAGAGCAGTGTGCTTTGGGAGGAGGAGTAGAGCCTGAAAAGACTTTTTCCTCTTTGGGTTCTGCACTATCTGCCCTAATCCATTCATTCAATAAGTGTGTGCCTATCACATACTGGGCAATGTGCAAGGAAGTGGGTGGTGATGCAGTAAACAGCCAGCCATAGCTAAGCTCTCTGTTCTTACTACATACTATTTTACCTATTCTGTTCTCAGCTCATTGAGGGCACGAATCCATTCTTCCTCATCTTACTCTTCTGCATAGTCAACAGAACCCTTAGGCACCTTCAGATACTCATAAATTTTATTTTATTTTGAGATGGAGTCTCGCTGTGTCACCCAGGCTGGAGTGCGGAGGTGCAATCTTTGTTCATTGCAACCTCTGCCTCCCAGGTTCAAGTGATTCTCCTGCCTCAGCCTCCTGAGTAGCTGGAATTACAGGCATGCACCACCACGCTTGGCTAATTTTTGTATTTTTAGTAGAGACAGGATTTCACCATGTTGGCCAGACTGGTCTTGATCTCCTGACCTCAGGTGATCCACCCGCCTTAGCCTTCCAAAGTGCTGGGATTACAGGCATGAGCCACCGCACCCAGCTGACACTCAAAAATTGTAAACTAATGTTGGTAGACTTGGCCTTCATCTTAATTTTGCCAGTAGCCATGTGGGGAGAGGGAATAGATCAGCTTTCCATGGTTACTTCTTTCATAGTGGAGCTCATGTGGTCTGGGATGTCCAGAAATCTGCCTGGAGTTGATATGGATGAAACATATACTTAATTCATTAGATTGAATATGGGCATGGCCAATCAAGCCTTAGACTAGCTCTTGTCTTCCCTCTCTAGACCAGCTTCGGGGATTCTCATCCTCAAACAGCTTGTTAAATTGGCAAAAGGCTTGTTCCTGAGAGGTCTGCCCTCAGCATCAGCTTTTCTCACTCTGAGTAGAACTTAGTTTTGCTAAATATCCTTAAGATGCCAGAAAGACTTGGGCTTTTGTCTTTCCTGGATCTCAGAGGGAGTTCATCTGCAAAGGGAAAGACACAATGCTTGAAAATGAGGCATTATTGAAGATCTGTATCTTGGACACTGCTCTTTTTATCAATATGACTCATGGGTCTCTGGCAGTCATGTGGCCTTGACTCTCCTTCTGCCTCTATTAGTCACTTGCTCTCTTCCCTGCCAGCATAAGAAAAAAGCTTCAGCCAGGCGCGGTGGCTCACGCCTGTAATCCCAGCACTTCAGGAGACCGAGGTAGGTGGATCATGAGGTCAGGAGTTCAAGACCAGCCTGGCCAACATGGTGAAATCCCATCTCTAATAAAAATACAAAAAAATTAGCCAGGTGTGGTGGCAGGTGCCTGTAATCCCAGCTACTAGGGAGGCTGAGGCAGTAGAATTGCTTGAACACGGGAGGTGGAGGTTGCAGTGAGCCAAGGTTGTGCCACTGCACGGCAACCTGGGTAACAGAGCAAGACTCCATCTCAAAAAAAAAGGAAAAAAAAAAAGCTTCTAATTTTGTCAGTCCCTTGTACACAAATATGTCTGAGCTCACTGGCATGAGAGTAACTGCCCTCAAGAGGGAGCAGGGATGAACGAAGCCACTCTACACGGACTCTGTCACCATCTGTGACTGCCAGCAGAAAGAGGGATGTTCCCGTCTTATACAGACACTCTTGAGGGGCTGTGTTCTCAAACTGACCATACTCACGTATGGTGCCAAAGCTGAACATTCTCAGAAACTGCATTCAGAACGTAAGATGGGACAAACCTCTATTTCCTGAGTGCTCCTTGCAGACAATATAAGGATGATGCCCATACAAAGGCAGAATATTCCTGTTGTGAAAAAGACGAAGAGGACTCTCCTGGCCGTGAAATACAGCCGGTGGGCGGGTAACTCCTGCTGCTTCAGGGCAGAGTTGTCTGGCAATCTGGACAGGCAATGCTGTGGTGTCTCCTCCATTTTGGTCCTGCAGGTGACTCAGATACTTTTGGGACATTTAGAACATTTTTACTCATAGTCATACCACATAATGGTAATGTGAAATGAATTATGTGAACCCTTCCTTTGAAGTTGCAAAGTCTTTCTGCTTCCTGGATTATTCCTTAACCAGACCTGGTATTTAACGGGAGCTCAGTTCTCTCCAACCAGCCATTACTGAGTATAACTGACTTAGGCTTAAAAAGGTTCTTGTGCTAAATGTCATGCCTAGGATGGATAGTCCCCGGCAAGGTCTGCAGAAACCAACATCTGGTGACACTAGGAAGCAATCACGATGGGCTATTTCTGGGATTTGGTGAGTAATTCAAGGCAAGCCCTTCCTGAGAGGTGGAAATGGATTTATCTTTAGGAACTTGCCTAGATCCTTGGAGATTAATACAAAAAAAATAAAAGTTAGGGCTGTCAGCTTTTCTCCAAATGTGGCTGTGGCTTAACATGAATATAAACTAAATTGGAAAAATGCTCTCAGATCATAGCTAACTTTGCTATTTGTGATAATGAGGAAGAGAGCAGCAAACAGGGAATTGTAGAACACAGATGTCTCATTTCAGCAGCTTCCAATTTTTTTTCATCCATAAAAAAGACTCTAGTAGAAAATGCAGATTAAAAACATCTCCTCCTAACCTCTCTTAAGTGCATGCTTTGGAGTAGCCTGAATGAGGCAAGAGAAAGGAAGAGGAAGATAATCAGTGAGATGTTCAACATTGAAGTACAGTATTAGGTCTGGTTTTGGGTTTTTTCCCTTGTTAGAAATCCACTAACATTATTTTCCTTAGGCCATTAGTAATTAATAATTACTTTTTTTAAAACTGGCATTTAAGATTTAGAATTAGAATTTTTAAAATTAGGGAGCAGGTGAATTTCTAATCTAATCTTCCCTTTTAATTTACATTAGACAGAGAAGCCATCCTGGACTATTTTTGTATCAAAGAAAGTAATGACTTTGGCAAATGTACCTGGTTTGAAAGAATACAAAATTGATGCAAATGCTTACATTAGGAAGTTTCCAATTCAGAGTTAAACCTTTCCACTTACAAACTGTGTAAAGAGCAAAATACCAATGGGAAATTTTCAGCATGACATTTGAATCTAATTTGGAGGTGGCAACTAGTACGGTTGTTGGTGTCAGACAGCCTTGTGTGAGAAGATGGCAGTGAACACTTCTCGTTAACATTTACCATTTGTTTTACTAAATAAACATGGTCAAGAGCTTGGGTTTAAAAGGCAGTAAAAAGCTATGAGATTAGATTATAAGAACAGGGTTGACCTACACAACATTGGGGTATGTTTGTGATTCAAATACTTATTCCAACATTGGATTGGATGGGATTATATTACATAATGCCTAGCAAGAGGGTAATTACAGCAAAAAACCAATGAGAATAGTATTTCTTAGACAGTTTATAAAACAACAAAACCAACTAACCCAAATCCCAGACTAAAAGGAGCTTCACAGGTGGTGTAGTACTCAGGGTTCACCACAGAAACAGAACCAGTAGGAGATTATATGACCATATGTGTATATTATAAGGAATTGGCTCACATGATTATGGAGGCTGACAACCCCAAAATCTGCAGAGCTGATGTCCCAATGCAAGTCTGAAGGCCACCAGGCTGCCATAGAGCCAGGAAGAGCCAATGTTTCAGTTAGAAGGCAGTCAGGTAGAATTCTCTTGGGGGGTTGGGGAGAGTCAGTCTTTTGCTCTATTCAGGCCTTCAACTGACAGGACGAGGCCCTCTCACATTATGAAGGGCAATCCTCTTTGCTCAGGTCTACCAATTTAAATGTTAATCTCATGCAAATATACCATCACAGAACACCCAGAATAATGTTTAACCAACTATCTGGGTATCCTATGGCCTAGCCAAGTTGCCACATTAAAATTAGCCATCACAGGTAATAAGTACAAATATTTCTGGGACAATATTCTTGAGAGACAGCTAGATATACATTCTCCAGGTACTTTTATATTCATCTATTTCCCTCTTCTAAATAAATCTACTTTCAATGTGCAAATATACCTTATATGCATTGCCTTTCGATATTTCCAGAACAGGGTTCTTTTTCTCAGCACTACTGACATCTTGGGCCAGATGTTTCTTTGTTGTGAAGGCTGTCCTGTAAGATTGTAAAATGTTTAGTTGCATCCCTGGCCTCTATTGCCCATGTTTGAGAATCACTGTTCTAGATTGATACCAATACAGCAATTTGTTAACAGCAGTTATACTGTGGTATCACTAGAAATGTCAAAGTCTAGGTGCAGTGGCTCATGCCTGTAATCCCAGCACTTTGGGAGGCTGAGGTGGGAGGATCACTTGAGCCCAGGAGTTTGAGGCTGCAGTGACCTATGATGGCACCACTGCACTTCAGCTTGGGAGACAGAGCAAGATCCCATCTTTTTTTTTAAAAAAAAGGAAAAAAAGGAGAATTTTGAAGTGATTTCTAACTTGTCTTCATTTAAATAGCCTTCTCAGGCATTAGCAGACATTTGCATATTTGGGGTTGCCTTATATTTCATTGTCTTTCCTATTAACTGCTGGGATGAAAATATATATGCTAAATATAAAAATATATATTAAATATACACATACATTATATGGATATACACATGTAATATTCACGATAGTCTCATGTTTTGGTGAATTCATAGCAGCTTGGCAGATTGGTCTGAATTCTGACAGCACAGACTGCAGTGTCTTAATTTGCAGATCTCTCTTCTGATAATAATCATACCTGATGGCTTTTTTTCCCCATATTAATCTAGGACATGTCACTTGACAGGAAGTTAAATGCCTCTATTGAGAAGGTATGTGGTCCATTTTCTTTCTTACCATCGCCCAAGAATATCTCACTTCTTAGGGCTAAAGGGATGAAAATGATAGAGTTAAGTTTAGCGATAGCTTAAATGTTCATTCTGTAGTAGTTGTTTTTCTTATAACTTATTGGGCTCTAGTGGGAATCCTGCAGAATGGAACCTACTCCTCTTTCCTCTGAGTCCCTCTCAGTATTCTGGCTTTTGGACCACAGAGGTGCAAAGTGCATGAGCAACAAGTTGTTGGTGTGCAGGCCTGTGTGATTTCCTGGACTTTGACTTGCTAGCCTGTTAGGCTCATTTACAATTTCACAAAATTTGAATTTTATATATCAGTACTGGCATCTGTTTGCTTTCTTATCTCTTGTTTGCTGTATACGCTTCAGTCTCCAGATAAGTTGGGTGTCTTGAAGTGGATATGGGAGACCTGAGTCTGACTTCTGGTTCTGCTACTTAAACTAGTATATGTCCCTTCTCAGATTTAGTTTCATTGTCTATACAATGTGACTTATAACGCTTTTTCCTTTGGGACTATTTCAGTGATTAAACATGACAGCTTATATATAAATGAAAGTTGTAAACACAGTGCTTGGCACAGAGTGGGTAACCAATCAACATTATTTAAATGAGTAAGAAAAGTAAGTGAATTTGAGCAACAAATAAAAAACAATACTATTACCTTATAACTCATAGAATAAAATGAGTATCAACGAGTCCATACTGATGTAAATAAATAATTGAACAAACAAGTAAATGGGGGAAAAGAGATAATTATTTCTTAAAGAGGAATTCTGTAATAAATGTAACACATGTTGAAGGAATGAGAAAAATAGAAAAACCATTACAGTAATGGCTGTCGCAGGCAAGAAATACCAATGTTTGCTAGAATTAGCAGGCAAAAGTTTGAGGAAAAACAGATGTTTGTATAGCCTCAAAGTATTGCCCCTAAAATGGATATTAATTACAAAGGGAAAATAATAACTTTATAGTAGAAAAAACTGGCAGATACCACCTTAGCCAGGTGATCAAGGTTGACATCACTGGTAATAAGACATATTAACATTATGTACCCCTGATATAATAAATCCAGAAGGACATACTCGCTTCTGTAGTATTCTGGTCAAAAAATGTGTAACTTCAATCAAATCATGAGAACATTACAGACAAATACAAATTGAGGGACATTCTACAAAATACACGATGGATACTCTTCAAAAAAGTATGAAGGTCATGAAAAGACAGGGAAATACTGAGGAACTGTCAGTGGTCTCAAGAAACCAAAGGGACACAACAACAAAGTAAGTGCAATGTGGGATCCTAAAATGAATCCTGGAATAGAACAAGGACATCAGTTTATTTGGAGAAATCCAAATAAACTCTGTAGTTTAGTTAATTATACGGTACCAGTGATGACTTCTTAGTTTTGATAACTCTATTATGGTTATACAAGAAGTTAACACTGGGAAAGCTCAGGGAAGGGGATATGGGAATTCTCCATTTTTTAAACTTTTCTATTAAGCCTGAAGTTTCAAAATAGAAAATTAAAAAAAAAAAATGAATAAGATAACTGTGATTATATTGTTGTCTTTTTATATGTTTACAAAGTGCCAAATTCACCTGATGCTCTTTCTACCACTATCCTGCTGATGTGGTTTGGCTGTGTGTCCCCACCCAAATTTCATGTGGAACTGTAATTCCCAGTGTTGGGGGAGGGACCAGGTGGGAGGTGATTGGATCATGGGGACGGATTTCCCCCTTGCTGTTCTCAGATAGTGAGTTCGCAGATAGTGAGTTCTCAGATAGTGAGTTCTCAGATAGTGAGATCTCAGATAGTAAGATCTGGTTGTTTAAAAGTGTGTAGCACTTCCCCCTTCACTCTCTCGCTGTCTTGTTGCCACGTGAAGATGTGCTTGCTTCCCTTTCATCTTCTGCCATGATTTTAAGTTTCCTGAGGCCTCCCCAGCCATCCTCCTTTACAGCCTGTGGAACTGGAAGTCAATTAAACCTCTTTTCATTATAAACTACCCAGTCTCAGGTAGTTCATCATAGCCATGTAAAAATGGAGGAATACAGAAAATTGGTACCAGAGAAGTGGGACATTGCTATAAAGATACCTAAAAATGTGGAAGCAACTTTGAAACTGAGTAATGGGCAGAAGTTGCAACAGTTTGGAGGGATCAGAAGAAGTCAGGAATATGAGGGAATGTTTGGAAACTCCTAGAGACTTGAACAGTTTTGACCAAAATGCTGATAGTGATATGGACAATGAAGTCCTGGCTGAGTTCTCAGATGGAGATGAGGAACTTATTGGGAACTGGAGCAAAGGTCACTCTTGCTGTGCTTTAGCAAAGAGACTGGTGGCATTGTGCCCCTGCTTTAGGGATCTGTGTAACTTTGAACTTGGGAGAGATGACTTAGGGTATCTGGCAGAAGAAATTTCTAAGCAGCAAAGTGTTCAAGAGGTGATGTGGCTGCTTCTAAAAGCCTATGCTCATTTGCATAAGGAAAGAGAACTTATATTTAAAAGCAAAGCAGAGCACAAAAGTTTGAAAATTTGCAGCCTGGCCATGTGGTAGAAAAGAAAAACCCAATTTCTGAGGAGAAATTCAAGCTAGCTGCAGAAGTTTGCACAAGAGGAGCTGAATATTAATAGCCAAAACAATGGAGAAAATGCCTCCAGGGCACTTCAGAGACCTTCGTGGCAGCATCCCCCTGCCACACAGGCTCAGAGGCCTAGGAGGGAAAAATGGTTTCGTGGGCTAGGCCCTGGGCCCAGCTGCTCTGTGTAGCCTTAGGACATGGCACCCTACTTCCCAGCTGCCCAGTTCCAGCTGTGGCTAAAAGGGGCCAAGGTACAGCTTGAACCATTGCTTCAGAGGGTGCATGCCCCAAGCTTTGGCAGCTTCCACGTGCTATTGGGCTTATGGGTGTGCAGAAGGCAAGAGTTGAGGTTTGGGAGCTTCTACCTCAATTTCAGAGGATGTATGGAAATGCCTTGATGTCCAGGCAAAAGTCTGCTACAGGGGTGAAGCCCTCATGGAGAGCCTCTATAGGGCAGTGCAGAGGGGAAATGTGGGGTTGGAGCCCCTACACAGTCCCCACTGGGGCACCGCCTAGTGGAGCTGTAAAAAGAGGGCCACCATCCTCCAGACCCCAGAATGGTAGATCCACTGACAGCTTACACTGTGTACCTGGATATGCTTAGGCACTCAACACTAGCCTGTGAAAGTAACCATGGGGACTGTACCCTGCAGAGCCACAGAGGTAGAGCTGCCTAAGGCCTTGGGAGCCCATTCCTTGCATCAGCGTGGCCTGGATATGAGACATGGAGTCAAAGATTATTTTGGAGCTTTAAGATTCAATGAGTGCCCTGCTGGGTTTTGGACTTGCATGGGGCCTTTAGCTCCTTTGTTTGGACCAGTTTCTCCCACTTGGAATGGGAGCATTTACCCAATGCCTGTACCTCCATTGTATCTTGGAAGTAAGTAACTTGTTTTTTATTTTACAGGCTCATAGGTGGAAGGAACTTGCCTTGTCTCAGATCAGACTTTGGAGTTGGACTTTTGAGTTAATGCTGGAATGAGTTAAGACTTTGGGGGACTGTTGGGAAGGCATGATTGTGTTTTGAAATGTGAGAAGGAAATGAAATTTGGAAGAGGCCAGGGTGGAATGATATGGTTTGGCTTTGTGTCTCCACCCAAATCTTATGTTGAATTATAATTCCCATTGTTGGGGGAGGGACCTGGTGGAAGGTGATTGGATCATGGGGGCAGATTTCCCCCTTGCTCTTAAGCTGTTCTCATGATACGGAGTGAGTTCTCACAAGATCTAGTCGTTTAAAAGTGTGTAGCATTTCCCCCTTCACTCTCTTGCTCTCTTGTCACCATGTGAAGATGTGCTTGTTTCCCCTTCACCTTCTGCTGTGATTGTAAGTTTCTTGAGGCCTCTCAGCCATGCCTCCTATACAGCCTGTGAAACTGTGAGTCAAACCTCTTTTCTTTATAATCTACCCAGTCTCAGGTAGTTACTTATAGCAATGTGAGAATGGACTAATATACTTGCCACCCTTTTTGCTGGGACCATGCCTCAGAGTTTACAAATCTGCTCCCCATGTACCATCTCCTGGAACCCTCAACACTGCTGTGAGACATTCCCACTTTGAGCTGATGAGATGGGGCTCAGAGAGGTAAGGGGCTTGCCTGAGGTCACCCAGCTGCTCTTTCCTTTCTCCTGAACAGTTACATCAGAAGCCAGTTGGTGACAGAAAAACTCGGTCTGCTCAACAAGGATCACACACAAGCCGGTGGTACTTTATTAAATAAGAGAGTTGTCAAAAGGACAGATTCATTCCTGTTTCAGAATCCCCACATTCCAGCAATCTATCTGCTGACACAGTTAACATAAACTATTTGCTGATATTTACTGAGTGCTTGCAATATATCAGAGTCATTAAATAAGATGCAACTTCTACTGTGAAGACTGGAATCTTCATTAAGACACAGACTTAGAAAAGGCCCAGTTTCAGAGATTCTGACTTGCACAGACTGAGCACTCCCATTTCCAGAAGTTCGAATACCTCCTTTCTTATCTAAATGAGAGAAAAGGAAAAAAAAAAAAAGATTAAGATCAAGCAAAAATGGTCTTGGTGAATAAATTCAACCATCAGGACTCCCTGGTATTTACCCAGCTGTTATGGCCAGAATCAGAGAGGGCAAAAGTCCTAACACACATTTGATTTCGAGTTGAAATTTTAAAAATTATTATTATTATTTTGAGACAGAGTCCCATTGTGTTGCCCATGCTGGAGTGCAGTGGCGTGATCTTGGCTAACTGCTATCTCTGCCTCCCGGGTTCAAGTGATTCTCATGCTTCAGCCTTCTGAGTAGCTTGGATTAGAAGCATGTGCCATGATACCTAGCTAACTTCTGTATTTTTAGTAGAGACAGGGTTTTGCCATACTGGCCAGTCTGGTCTTGAGCTCTTGGCCTCAAGTGATCTGCCTGCCTTGGCCTCCCAAAGTGCTGGGATTGCTGGTGTGAGTCACTGCGCCCGGCCTATTATTATTATTGTTTTGTAGAGACAGGGTCTTGCTTTGTTGCCCAGGCTGGTCTCGAACTCCTGGCTTCAAGTAATCCTCCCACCTCAGCCTCCCAAAGGGCTAGGATTACAGGTGTGTGTCGCCATGCCTGGCAGAATTAAAATATTTATATAAATGAAAGAAGAGGTACTATATAAATGAAGGAAGAGGTACTATATAAAACATTAGGTTCATTAAAGTGCAGCCATTCAAAATAAAATGCTATATAAAGGTGTTTCAAGGACTCCACAGTGTGCTTTCTGTAAACAATACTATATACGATAGTTCAGTATAGGATTTTATTGCCTTAGGATAACTGCTAAGAATGACAGCAACAGAATAAAAATAACTACGGGTGAAAAGATGTTTTTGGATATTTCTCATTATTAGAATTAGAAACTTAGTAGATTAGTCAGTTTAATATTATAACTGAAATAATCAACTGTGGCCTCATGCCTGATATCAAAGTTGTTAAACCAGTTTTAAGAAACCAGTCAATTCAGGGGACAAAATGCACAACTGTGTATGTGTGTGTGCGTGTGTGTGTGTGTGTGTGTGTGTGTAACTGAGCAAACTGTTTTTTAACCTGAACTGATGTCTGAAATAACTCACTGATGAATTATAATCAGGTTTGGTCAACTGGAGATACAGTTTTATGTGATAAATTAATTCATTCAGCATGTTTGGAAGAGTATTTCCAAGCCTCTTTGATAGTTACTGCCATGATTTGTTCTTGGTTGGTGACTGGTAACCATTTTTTTTTTTTTCTAACAGCTACTGTGAAGCATCAGGCTAGATTGAAAAATTAGCCCCATGACAGCATGGTAGGTGGCAAGGTCAATTTTTCACATTATGATGATAATGGATTGCTTTTAAAAATATATAATGAGCTAATACTGTGCCCATAAAGGCATTCAATCATTCAATTGTAATCCACTGAGACATCAAAAAATTTCCCCACCCCATGAAATCAAAATATCTTTCTAAATTAAGTAAGTGGGTTATTGGGGATGTGGAGATGCTGGCAAAGAGGCAAGTTTGTACCCCTGCTTCCCCAACCCGAGCCAAAAGTGCACATAGAAGAATGAAAGACAAAGACGAGTGTGTCTACAAAGAAAGGCACAGGAAAAGTGCAGGTCCTTCAGATCTTCTTGTTTCTCAAAATGGTCCCTAGTGAGGAGAGGCCATTGGTCATTTAAGGAGCAACAGAGCCGATTCCCATGAAACACATGGAAAGGATACAGTTATGTGTAAGGGGAGGAGGTGGCCTCTATAATTATAGTTAGCTCAGAGTTAGAAAAGATAGAAATCATTTCAAAATCTACAATGTGCTGGCTCCTCATGTCAAAGACTTTATTACTGTGTTTGAACTCAAGTTCAAATAGAGAAAAAATGATTAAAAGCAACTGCTGGTTACGTGGTACCTCGGGAATGTCCATCATTCTCCTCAACTTCTGATCTCTCCAGTTCCAGTCGAAAACCAGAAATTTTAAGGGGTTCAAATTAAAGCCACCTGAAAGAGACAGGGAGAGAGTTGCTGCAGTAAAGACCTCATGACATAAGCTTATTAAAATGATTTTTTATTCTCCGGGTTACTTTTTGTCCCATATGTTGTCCTCTCCCCCAGTAACTCATCTCTGCACATTAAGTGCTGCCCTTCCCTGATGGAAACAAACGCAGCACTCTGAGACGTGCTCTTCTTATCAACTCATCACTGCTTCTGAGGAAAGCAGACAAGCTGCTCTTGCTAAGCTCCTCAAATGCTCACATGCTGGCCAAGCCTCCATTTCATGAAGACCCAGAGGCTGTAGTCTCATTCCTGACAGGCATTTGCTAAGCTAAATCCTGCAGTTTTGGGTAGTTGCCTTTCAGAGGAGTTGAGTCCACGGAGTCTGCATGGCTCTGAGGAGGTGAGTGGGGAGAAAGATGAGGACAGGGCTGGGTGGTTCATTTTAGGCAGAAAAGGAAGTTGAGATGAATAGGCTCTATTCAGCTATCCTTTGATGAGGTTGGTAAATCACTTAATTACTCCATTCACTGTTTTCCTGTCTGTCTACAAGACAATTATGGACTGTGAGGGCTGCAGGGGACCTCAGGGATTGTCTGGTCCTCAGATGTCTCACAGTTGGGCATACAGTCAGTTCTTGCCTCTGCTCCAAGCTGTTCCACGTCTCTCGTGTTAACAGTACCTACAGCCTTCCTCTCCCGCGGCACTTCCCCTCAGCTTTTCCTCATGGTATTTAAATATTTTCCTCTTTGCCCCTAATACTTGTTCATGCTGTTTATAATTCAAATGCCTGTTATTAAAAACATTCTGCAAAATTAAAATAAAAATGGTGAACTGGAAAAGACAATGAGTTGATCATCAGTCTTCCCTTAATATAACTGCTGGCAGGAAAGCAATAGGTACAGCCTCTCTGGAATGAAACTGAGCATAATATAACAGCTTCAAAATGCTTTTATTTGATCTCGAATTCCTGACCTCAAGTGATCTGCCCATCTCAGCATCCCAAAGTGCCGGGATTATAGGCGTGAGCCACGGTGCCTGGCCAAAATGCTTGTATTTGATAAAATAAATTTCCTTCTATGACCAATCCCAATGAAGCATCAGAAACATAAACATAGCTACTTGCAAAAATGATCATTGCCATATTATTTATAATAGCAAAAATTTAGAAACAACCCAAAGTCTACCATAATAGAATTGCAAAAAAATAAATTTACAATAGAATATTGTAAATAGCGTAGCTATACAAATGAAAAATTAAACGTGCTTCATGACAAGGAAAGTAAGTCCTCATGAGATATAGCAAGTGAAAAAGGTAGGTTATAAAGTTATGAAATGCAGTATAATCAATCTCTGCTATATAAAAATAAACATACAAATGTATAGAAAAAAGACTGAAAGGAAATATATTCATTATTAACAAGAGATTGCCTCTAAAGTGACTTGTTTTCTTCTCTGTACATTTTTGCATTTTCCAAAGGCTCCTACAGTCAGAAAATCCCCTTCATTACTAAATTAAAACAATACAATTGTCTGTAATTGTATACATACCAATGTCATGGGATATTGTTCAATGTCTGAAAACTCTCCTTATATATAAACATATAAACATCTTATTAAGTCATAAACAGCTACATATGTGCTACTGGTGTCACTCTGTTAGATTTCCCATTTTTAGGGTGCTGGGACTATTCTCTTTAAACACTTTGTATGTAGCCAAAGACCTGTGGTTAATGAATATTAAACCATTCATCCAATTAGAATCAGAAGTAAAAATTATTTTCATTAATATTGTAAAAATACATCGCCCTTTAAATGATTTTTCCACCTGAAATAAGCCTGCATATTGAGGTCTCACAACTCTGTAGAGATCTGATTTCAATAGTCTGGATAGCTTTGCTTTTTCTCTTCCTCTCTTTCTTTTAAATACAGAGAAGAGTAATCCTGTTGCATGGGGTGGGGGTTGGGGAAGTCTGGTGACACATAAAAAAATCTGGATGCCAGGAGGGACTGGTGGTGAATCTTTAGCTAAAAGCTGCTAGGGAGACAGGAACCAACCTGAGAGTCCATCCTTAGCTTCTCCTGATACCCAGTCAATCACTCCCAAATCTGTGTCTCATAGAAGGCCTTGGTGCCTCTTAACTTTCAAATGCCATAGGATGTCCACAAGACAAAAATCCAAACTCCTTGGCTTACTGTTCAAGGGCTTTCCTCAAATTTCTTTCCAATTGCATCAACTGCTACTATAGCCCACAAAGTCTCCAAGCAAGAAAGTTGGTCTCTTTAATAAATAACTAATATTTGCTAAGTGTTTAGGGTGTGACAGTGCGCTGAGCTCTTTATTGGCATTTTGTTTTTATAACAAACCTTAAAGTAGCTACTATTACAATCCTGGTCATTCGTACAAAGAAACAGGCTGAGAAGGGTTAAGTAACTTGCCAAGGTTACAGAGCTGGTAAGTTGCTAGACCTGAGATTTGAATCTGGAGGTCTGAGTCCATCACAGGGGCTCTTAACTGCAACACTGTTTTGCCTCCTCCTAATTCCTTGTGATATAACATGTGTATGTGCCTGCTTTCTGAGAATCTCACTGGGCTGTTCTCCCATTCATGGATGCTTCCCCTGACCCTCCCGGCCTATTTCAATCCTCTCCACATTTCAAAGATCAGTTAAAGACCCTGCTCTGCAGATTCAGGCCAGCATAACTATCGCCTTCTCATTTCAACTCCTGTACCACTTAGAAGTGCTCATTTGGCTCTTGGCATTTACTGCCTCATGCTATCGATCTCAGTCTATGTACATTTGGTTCTTCAGCTGGATCAGGAGCTCCCTGAGGAGAAAAGGCTGTAGAACCAGGAAAGCTGGGAGTGATAGACCTTGGGGAGGGTGACATAACCCTCTGAGCTTCAGTTCTCTCTCATAAGAAATAAAATGGCTGGCCTGTAAGGATGCTGTGAGTGCTAAATGAGATAACATATGTAAGGGTGTCAAGCATAGCACTGCGTACAAGTAGGAACTCAAAAGTGTTGTTTCCCTTCCTTGTCAGGGGCAGCCAAATTTGTTACTTGTTGGTATTTGTACAAAACTCTGCATATAGTGGGTTCAAGTAACCCTGGATGATTTTCATCTGGAGAGAAACAATAGTAGTTTTAGCTTTTGGTTGCTCCCTGGCAAATGACCATCTCTATAATGAGTTACTACACTGATGAGCACATTACTTTTAGGTATATAAAATAATCTGAGAATAGCTCCAGACAGTTATTTAAAAAAAACCTCTATTAGATAATACATAAGTAATTTGGAAATAAGTATTGAAAAGAAATCATTGAATGTGCCTGGTAGGTAGAAGAGGTAATAAGATAATTGGCAGGTTAGCAGGTTCTCAGGTTACTGGCTTTGAGAAAGTCGGCAAACTAGAAAAACTCACCAGTGGATATTGTCTAGAATACTTTCTGTAAAGCACTCAAAGAGAAACACATTTGGGAAGAACAATTATGGAATGCCCGCATTACATTCACGGAAACTACGTTTTGTTTTAGTATGTTTTATATACCAGCCCTCAAAATGGGAGTCTCCCCGAGACTCTGTGGAGTGAGCGGGAATACTCAACTGAAGCAGTGGCCGCGCACTGGTGGAATGAAGGCCATGTGACCCACTAACCTGCTTGTAGCAGCTGGAATTGGACTCTGTTTAGGTGGGCACATGTACTTCAGTTTGCCACAGCCCTTATCATTCCCTAATGTGCTATACTTGCTGGTTGGCTTCAGAGATTAAAGGCTGAGTTTCCACTTCCTGAATTAACACAGAGGTCTGGTTTCTGTATATCCTGAATTTAGTTTCTGAGACTCACATGTGGGTAAGGCAAACTCCCAGCCCTGGGCAAGAGTATCGCTGCCCTCTTGTCATACCTTGTTTAACAAGTTCTTTAATTCTCCCTGGAGTTCCTACACCCAGGTGCACCACACGCTTCTCCAGCAGCTTTACCTGCTCCTGGACCTGTTCCAAGAGGAAAGAGAAGAAAAGGAAGTCATTAAGAAAGTGCAATTTTACACCAATTTCTTAACTTTATCTCAAAGTTAAATCTTCAAGGAATCAAAGGGTCAAGCCTCAGGGACGGAGCATGGCAGAAGCAACTGCTGTAGGGGGGAGGTAGATATGTGGAGGCATAGAATTTAAAAAACTAGAAAAGTGGTTAAATGTTACATAAGGAAGGAACTCAATAAAATACTTGCTAAGGAGATTAGGAGAAGAGGTTGAAAGGAAAAAGCTGAGGTCTGGGAGAGGCCTTTAGGGATCACAGGCCCTTGCTTACCTTTATGTGCTTTGCAAATAATTTTATAACTTTGCTGTCTCCTCTGAATGCTGTCATCGACCTAATGAAAAGAAGTAGGTGAATGCTTAAGAAAACCAACTCATTCTAGGCCACGATGACTACTTAAGTATTATGTCTTGCTTTATTCAAAGGATGTGTGCATATGTGTGTATATATGCACATATGTACACACAAATTCTGAGATTTGCAGGTTAGCCAGCATTTGCAATGAGAGTGGGGTAGCCTTTTATTCAGGTACTTATCTGTGTTGGCTTCACACTGCCATACACAAGGTCAACCTTACTTAGGTTTCCTTGATTACTGAAACACATGATCTGCCTTTCACTTGTAATACAGAATTCCAGTATTTCAGGTCCCTGGCAGAAAATTCATTTCCAACTGTGCAGAGCAGTTCTCATACAAAATTCGGTTCCAAGAGATATCTTAGAGCGGTGATGTCAGCCCATTCTCTGTGGAGCCAAGGGCATCTACAAAGGTCTGCCTGTGGTGGCCATGAGGAAAGCCGGGGGATGAGATGGAAAGGGGGAAGAAGGCGGGTTTCTATCCTTCTGTCAGAGCTGTCCTTTCTTATCTACTTTGTAGGCTAAACTTCTCTATAAAATTTTATAGGTGGAAATGGAGCTTCAGCCAAAAGAAAGAAAAGAAGGAAGGAAAGAAGGGAAAGAGGAAGCAAAGAAGGAAGGAAAAAAAGTAAGAAGAAACCACTGACACAAAGGACTGGCGGAATTAAAGCTATGAGGGCAGGGGTTATTGTAAATGAGGTGATCTGGGAGGTGGGTGTGAGGACTGAGGGGCACTCGAGAGTGATGCCCCCCGTACAGGGGTCAACTAGTGCTCAGCTCTGCCAGTTATGAGGATGTGAGATTATGGGCCTAAGATCCTCTGATTTTTAGAGAAGCCAGAAATTTAGATTTTTATATGTGCAATCTGATTTTAAATATGGGCAAGTCATTCAAAAATTTTTTAGGTGCCAAATACTTGTGGGGTAAACTTAGCCTTTGAGTTGTCGCTTTACAGTCTCTGGCTTACACCAGCAGGACAGGCAGTCCACTTAGTTTCTAGGTAGTCAAGAAGCTAGATCTATCCACATCAATCCAGACCACCAGCTCTGAGGGTGGAGACGACGCTGGTGGCACCTGACATGCCTGCCTTTCTACCTCTACTGTGGCATCAGGTCCTCAGCTGGCACCAACAGCTGTTCTATAAACAGCCACATAACATTATCTGTCCAGGATTCTTGTTGTACAGATGACACTGAGAATGCTGCTATCACTATGTCACAGAGGGAAAAACTGTATTTCTCAGGGAACTTTTTTTTTTTCTTCTTAAACCCACAGAATGCCATCAATCTGACAACTGATAGTATTTCCCAACAGATCCTGGCTGTTGGAAAGTGCAGGCCCCCAGTTGGGGCCACTGTTGCAACTGAACGGGGCTTTATGGACGTGAGTTTGAGCACCATTTCTAGCTGGCTTCACCTAATTTTCTGTTCTTTACTTTTTCCTTGCTTCTGTTTTCACAACCTGTTTTTCATTTGTTGAACGTATTTCTATATATCACCTATATTTGAGGATGACCTAACATGGGTTTACTAGTTTCCTTCATATATCGTTATTATATTTTGAGAAATATTGACCAGTAAAAACATAAGAGTTTGCAAAATAGTGAATCATGCTCTACAAGTTCTGTTGCCTCAAGTTTTTACTTACACATAAGCTTTCTCCATGGCAAGGTTAACCAGGAAGACAATTTAAAGTAAGTCATGGCTCTCAGTAGAAGAGATGTTCTCACAAAAGTTCGAATTCTTAAATGTTAGTCTTTATGAGTAGGGCTTGTTGTGCCTACTCAGAAATCACCTTCTGCAAATCACCTAACCTTGAAATGGATCACAGTATTACTGGGGACACAAAAAAATATTGCAAATTGGTAAATGAAGTGTGACGACATAGTACTTTTATGTCCTCAGTAAGGAATTTATGTACAACAAAAGCTCGAATCAATTTGATAGCTTTATTTTAAGAGTCCACCTCCAGGCCAAACTCTTTGCCCTTAGCATCTGAAGCTGAAATGAGGTAGTTTTTAAAGCACTGAAAAGTCAATGTGAATTCCCATGATTTTAGGACTGGTAATACAGCTGCCTGGAAGCAGTTGGAATCTTCAAGATCAATTATGTTTAGAGCAGAAAAAATGGAAAGAAACACAAGTGTTTCACTGGGAGATTATATGCTACAAGTTAATGTATGTGCACAATGTGATACAATTTAATGTGTGTCTCCACTTCAGTGGAGAAAGGAGGGTTTGAAGGACTATTAAAGTTTAACAACTACTTTTCTAAATTCGTGATTACATTAGTTCATTTAGAAAAAACAGATGTAAATAACTATTGAGTGTCTAGATTTGCACCTTAGTCTATTTGACCAAGTTCCTCTTTCTTCATGACTTGGATTTTCCTTTGTTTTGTCTCTTGTCAAAGCCTGACCCAGAGCCAGGCTCTCAGAGAGAGCTGGTCCTAGCAAATCCCGTCTGACTCTCACGGCTCTTCTCTGAAAGCTGAATGTTACCACTGACCAGTGGAAGCCTTTTTGTTTATTCTACAAAAACTACAGTAAATGAAAAAGTACATGAAAGCACTTAGTAAAGCACTGACAAATTATCTTTAAAACATAATCTTTTTTTTTTTTTTTTGAGAGGGAGGCTCGCTCTGTCACCCAGGCTGGAGTGAGTGGTGTGATCTCAGCTCACTGCAAGCTCCGCCTCCTGGGTTCACACCATTCTCCTGCCTCAGCCTCCCGAGTAGCTGGGACTACAGGCGCCTGCCACCGTGCCCAGCAATTTTTTTTGTATTTTTAGTAGAGATGGGGTTTCACTGTGTTAGCCAGGATGGTCTCGATCTCCTGACCTCATGATCCGCCCGCCTTGGTCTCCCAAAGTGCTGGGATTACAGGTGTGAGCCACCGCGCCCGGCCTAAAACATAATGTTTACCTTTAAATTTTTGTTCCATTTGGAATTTATCTTGTTATAAGCAGTGAGATATGAATCCAACTTTGCTTTTCCAGATGGCTACTCAGTTGTTCAACACCGTTTATTAAACAATCCATCTTTCCCTACTGATTTCTGATTTGTCACCTTAGGCATGTGCTACATTTTCATATGCATTTGGGTCTGTTCCTGAACTTTCAATTCTATTCCACTCGTCTGATCTGTCATGCATGTGCCAGTTCCATACTGTTAATTATTGAGACTTCAGAGAGTGTGTGTATATATATATATATGTATATATAATTTGTAATCTCTAGTGATATAATCCTCTCATTAGTATTATTTTTCAGAATTTCTTTGCCTATTTTTAGTTGTATATTATCCCATAAGAATTCAGAACTCGTTTAACCAGTTAAAAAAAAAAAACAACTCTATTGGAGTTTAACTAGGAATGTGTGAAATCTGTAGGCTATCCTAAGTAAAACAGACATGCTTACAATATTGAGTTTTCCTATTCAAGAATATGGTATACATTTTTGTTTGTTCAAGTTTTCTGCATCCCTTAGATGATACTGTCTGTACATAAGTTTTGATAAGTGTATTCCGTGGTATTCTATCTTTTTTCTTTCTTTCTTTTCTTTTCTTCTTCTTTTTTTTTAAATTTATAATGGAGATGGGGTCTTATTATGTTGCCCAAGCTGGTCTCAAACTCCAGGGCTCAAGGAGTCCTCCCATCTCAGCCTCCCAAAGTGACAGGATTGTAGGCATGAGCTGCTGTGCCTGGCTTCTGTCTTTTCTTGTTACTATTTTAAGTCAGATATTTTCTTCTAACTGGTTGTTTGGGGTATGATCTCCTTGCTTCACCTGTGCTCTCTATAATGTGTGCTCTCCACACAGCAGCCAAAGGGAACCTTTAAAATGATGATTCAGATCAAGTAACTCCTCAAAATCCTACAATGGCATCCTATCTTTGGGGTCTTTTGTGCTTACTCTCCCCTCTACCTGGAATGCTTTTCTTCCGATAGCTGCTGGGCTTTCTTCTTCACTTTGTTCAAGTCTCTGATCAAATTGTCATCTCCTTAGAGAAGCTTTCTGTGACCACCCTTTTAAAAGTAGTCCTGATCTACTTATATCCCTTTGCCATGCTTGATTTTTTCCTTACATATAGGTGTACCTGATGTTATGATGTATCTTCACTTGTTTATTATCTGTCTCCCCCACTGAAATATAAATTCCATGAGGGCAGGGACTCTGTTTTGTTTATTGCTACATCTCCAGCACATAGAACGTAATAATTTGGCATATATCAGTTATTCAGAAAACATTTATGATACGGAATAGGTGAACCTTCCAACCTAATGAGCTCCAGGGCTCGGATGGCTGAGCTGCAGATGATCAGCATCAGGACCGCTTTCTTCTCACTGTGGTTTTTCCTAAGTTTTACCCACTTAGGACAGACTGGAAAAAAGACCACAAAACAATTATTTGAAAAATGGCAAAACAGGGCCCACCTCCCAAGTTGAGTATTTCTTCTTTGTTGAGTGTTTAAGCAAAATAAAATACAGTGAGCATGGTTCATTATAATTACAATTATAATTCAATTTTCTGGTTATTGTAAATATTAGATTAAAATGAAGTATCATTAATTTATAACACAAAACAAACATGCCAAGTCCCTAAATGTGACTAATTTTAAAATTAAGTAAAAAAATTTGGAATATTACATTTTTGATATTTTAATTTATGTTTGATACTTCACAATGTTGATTAAATAGGAAATGAATTCTGATTCAGTCATGTTAAATTTTAAAGGGAAATTCAACATAAGATATAAAATGGAACAAACATTTAAAAACAGCAAACACTTACTAAATACTGACATGGTGCTAAGCACTTTATATAGATTTTCTTTTTAGTTCTCATAATCTAGTGAGGTTGATTCTATTATTACCTAGATTTACATTTTCTGAATTTGACGCTAAGAAAGGTTTATGAACTCAAGTTTAGTGTCATCAGAATTGCTTGTAGTTTGAAAGAAGAATGGAAACTTTCTATATCTAAACTGTTTCATTGCTGGCCATAAATAAATGACCAGTTGATATGAATAATTTAGTTATTGCTGGCTACATATAATACATATTGAAGGGCCAGACACAGTAGCTCACGCCTGTAATCTCAGCACTTTGGGAGGCAGAGGGCGGAGGATCTCTTGAGCCCAGGAGTTTGAGACCAGTCTGGGCAACATAGGAAGACTCTGTCTCTACCAAAAATAATCAAAAAAAAAAAAAAAAAAAATTAGCTGCTTGTGGTGACATACAACTGTAGTCCCAGCTACTTGGGAGGCTGAGACAGGAGGATCGTCAGAACCCAGGAGGTTGAGGCTCCACTGAGCTATGACCAGACCACTGCACTCCAGCCTGGGAGACAGAGTGAGACCCTGTCCTTCTCCAGTCTCCCAAAAAATACATTTTGAAAAGATAGAATTAGATTGGCTTCACTATAGCCATGGTCTGAGTTCTAAACATGCAAATAGAATTTCAGAATCTCACAGATGGAACACATATCACATAGTCCATCTTCCCTATTTTTCAGATAACAAATTAAGTCCAGGGGAGTACTCAGTGACTCATCTCAAGTCAAACAGCAAATTGGTGGGGGACCTGGGACTAGAACACCATTCTTTGGATTCCTGGAGCAACAATGGCCTAATGTATTATAAAACAAAAATGAGACCAAAACCTAAATTTCCAAAGCCAGAGCAAAATAAGGATAAATTTAAATAGATTAAAATCAGAGTTTACTTACTTTCTTTTAGGTATGAGGAAAGACTGTGAGTCAAATCATTGGCCTTGAGGAAACAGGAGTCTAGAAATATGATAAACATGGTATACAGAGAATTTTGTAAATGCACACACACAATCAAAATAGATTATATGTGAGTTATGAGTGATGTATAAGGTTGTAAAATATTAGTGAATTGGGGCCCATTATATATCTTAAAGTGTTGCCTATATTTAAAATAACAGCAGCAGCAACAAGTAAACTTTTAACCTGTCACGGAGCTGCCCGTAATTTCTTAGAGCAGTGAAATAGGAGCTTCTTATATCACTCAGCAGATTAATGAAGCACCTTTATTTTCCAAATCCATAAAATGGGGACTACACAAATGCAAAATGAAGTGGCTAACAAATCTATGTAAAGATGTTCAAACTCACTAGTTATCAGAGAAGTGCATGTTAATATAATGAGATCACACTTTACACACTCATTAGAATGGCAACTATTAGCAAGATGTATAATACCAAGTGTTGTTGAGAATGCAAAGTGATGGAAACTCTTGTGAACTGTAAGTGGAAGTGTAAACTGGTATAGATATTCTGGAAAGTAATAATGTTAATATGTATATACCCTATAATTCTATCACTTCAACTCAAAGTAAATAATAGAAAGAAATTCTTGCGTGGTCTATTAAGGTACACACACAAGGATATGCATCTTGGCATTATTTGTGATACCAGGGTGCTTGAGGCAACCTAAGTGTCCATACCTGGGAAAATGGATGAGTATATGTGACAGATGGAAACGCTGGAATATTATGTTGCATTTAGAAGCAATGAACTAGACATGCATAAAACTACAGAGTCCTATCTGGAAAAAGTGTCAAATGAAGAAAGAAACAGAATGAAAGCATTAGCACAGAGCCATTTTAGATACACTTTAATATGTATATACATACACAGGATGACATATTTTATAAGAATATATATATATATATTTTAAAATGCCTATCATATGAAAATAGAGTTTGGATTAGGGAAGAATGGTAATAATGTCTCAAAATACAACACGACATAACAATACAATAAAAAACAATATAACACATTAAAATAAAACAGGGGCTGGACTGACCAAAATGAAATTTATGTTGTGACCCAGCACATATAACTCATTAAGTGAGTAATTCAAAGCTGTTTTCTCCTGTATTGTTGTGGAGCCTTTGGTGGTCTTTATAATGTCCCAAGTCTGGATATGATCAGACTCACCTGGAGAACTGAAGGTACAGATTCCTGGGATGGAGTCTCTTTTGCATAATGAATTAGAATCTCTTGAGGATGGGCCTGGGGATCTGATGTTTAAGTTCCTGGGTGATTCAGTTGCAGCTAGCCTATAGGCATTTAGGAATCACTAATCTAAACCACACTGCAGCTCTCAGGAGACAGCAGAGAGGTTAATTAGCTCCGGGTGACTCCAGCCTTGAAATCCTAATTCAGTGCCCGTGTGTGTGACATTAACAATGTACAGTGCACAATATTAATTGAAAAGACATGTTCGTGCCCTACAGACACAAACAACCTCAAATCAAAACCAAGTTAGAAGCTCGACAAACTAAATAGGAACAATATGTTATTATTTATATCTACTTTATATGTGTATATATAAGGGTATTTATGTCCCTCCTTGAGCCTATTCTAAATAACCCACTGTATCTCCTTCCCCACATCTAGCTTAAATCTCCTCTCTGTTCTTGGTCTCATCAGTGTAGTGACCAGTGCCTGTTCTCCCAAACCTTCCTCTGATGTCTCAGTTTATTGTGTCTTAAATGGCCTAATTTTTTAAACTAAAAATAAAAACCTGTCCTTTTTGGTTATAACATTATTTCAAACATATTTTCTTTCCTCCCCAACCAACCCATGACCACACATTCTTGCCTAACTATATTACTGAACTCTAATAAAACAATAATATCAAACAAATTCACTATGGAACTCAAATGACTCCTTAAAAGTTTCTTCTGAGCTTTGACTCCCTATAACTCTAGAGAGGAGCAAGGTTTATGATGTTCCATGAGGTTACAGAACAGCAGTGGTCCCACTGCTCACAAATCCTTCGTAAGTTCAGTTGCTCTAACAAAGAACTAGAATGGAAAACTGACCATTGAGTCACAGTAAAAATCAAACTTCAGTTAAAGCTTCAAAAGTGGTTTTGTTAGAATAGTTCCTGTGATAGTGCAGTCAGGACACAGTTTTCACAGCAGAGGCAGTGGTGTGCTCAGAAGAGTGGATTCTAACTGCTGTTGGAACTGTCTGGGCTTAGTAAGTCTAAAAGTCCAGATCCTGCTCATGTGCAAATGCACTCCTTCAATTCCCTAAAGGGTACTCTCCTTGGAAAACAAACAGACAGGGCACTCATGTCTCCAGACCCAATGTGTGTTTTTAAAAAAGGATATCACAAAAGAATTATAAAAATTCAGGGAACAGATTGTTTTTCAGCTTCTCAAGCTTCTAGAAAGCATAAAATTGTAATGGAAAAAGGAAATCAAGCCACCCTCTACTTTTTCCAAAAGCAATATTAGATATCCCTAGTAGTCTATAAATAGCTCATCTGAAGCAGTTGTACCCAAACTTTTTATGGTTTGATTTTATGACAACATCTATTTCTCCCATGCCTGCCTAAAAGAGTTAAAGGATGCATCATAATTTTGAAATTAATTAAAAGTAGTTGTTTACGCTGGGTGTGGTGGCACATGGCTATATTCCCAGCTACTCAGGAGGCTGAGGTGAGAGGATCCACTTAAGCCCAGGAGTTCGAGGCTGCAGTGAACTACGAGGGTGCCACTGCACTCCAACCTGGACGAGACAAGAAGACACTGTCTCTAAAATAAATACATATTTTTTTAAAATTAGCTGTTTACATCTTGCAGTATCTTTTAGCTTAATTATAAATACACCAAGGCAGAGGATCTAAAACTCTAGTAGGCTGAAGAATCCCTTGAGGCAAAGTGTCAGCCTTGCAAAACATGCAGAATTTTGTTCCTACCTTTTGATAGTTTGCTTGAAAGAGTCTGGCCTGCAACCCAAAATACTATTCTAAAAACCATGACTAGAAATCCATGATAAGAGCAACAACAAAACTAAATTACTTATTAAGGCTAAAGCTCTTGTCTATAAGAGTTGAGTAAATCAGTGTTTCACAACTATACTTTTAAATGTGTACTTTTAACTTCTATCCTCATGACGAATTCCTACTCGTTGAATAGTCTGTTAAAAAAAATGCACACCCAACAATTAGCCTTTTGAAAAAAAAAATACTATCACAAATCTTAGTATTAGATTTGAAAAATACTGTTTAGCATCCAGTAAGGATATAATCTATCAGCTAAAACTATTTGATATAATCTATCAGTTAAAACTATTAGATTGAGGAAAGAAATATTATGTTTTTTTTTTGAGATGGAGTCTCACTCTGTTCCCCAGGCTGGAGTGCAATGGTGCGATCTTGGCTCACTGTAACCTCGGCCTCCCGGGTTCAAGTGATTCTTCTGCGTCAGCCTCCCAAGTAGGTGGGATTACAGGTGTGTGCTACCACGCCCAGCTAATTTTTGTATTTTAAGTAGAGATGGGTTTCACTATGTTAGCCAGGCTGGTCTCGAACTCTTGACCTCAAGTGATCCACCCGCCTCAGCTTCCCAGAGTGCTCAGATTATAGGCGTGAGCCACTATGCCCAGCCTGAAAATATGTCTCTTTAAACAATTATTATTATTATTATTTTTAATAGCGATGACTTCTCACTATATTGCCCAGGCTGGTTTCAAACACCCAGGCTCAAGCGATCCTCTAGCCTCGGCCTCCCAAAGTGCCGGGATTACAGGCATGAGCCACCACACCCGCCAGAAAATATGTTAATTGACTGCTTGAGACACCTAACCATAATAGACAGTTATGTTTTGCTCCTTGTCATTAGGAAAATTGAAGGTTGGCTATACCTGGCAGGTTCAGTTCTTCTAATTCAATCACTGAGCGTCTGCTGCTATAATAGTCCTTCATCAGCTTCTGTAGGTCTTCAGGTAACCCTGGTTTTGGTTCTGATTTTGCAAGAACATCAGTAATTTTCTTCTAAGATATGAGAAGGAAGAAAAATGGGAAGACATACTTTAAAATGGCATTTGGTTGGAATAGGTTAATTCCTCTGGCATTTAAACTGCACATAGCTTTTGATGTTAGCCAAGTGTGAATGTGGGTGTTAATAAATACATTTGAGAAAATTCACTAAATACTTCTTGGATATAACTATTGCTTTGAAAAATGAAAAAAATGATCTAGAAAGCTTCCTGCAACTCTTGGTCTATGACTTCCAGGAGAACTACGTTTTTGCAGACGTCTCCATACTAGGGTATTATTTTCTGTTAAAAGTAAAGAAATCTCATTGCTATGGAAAGCTCTCTTTTAGCCCTAGATGATTTATATTCCTGTAGGATTAGAATTTTAAGAATTTCTTGCCTAACCTGCTTTGTGAGGTGCTGAGTCTTAGTTTGGATTTCTGGCATTAGTGTAAAACCTCCAGTAGGAATCTGAGCATAGGAGCCTACTGAGGAGGGGACTTAACACCCTTGATTCTCAGGTCTTGGATAGCTGACAGTATTAAAGTGGCCCTATGGAAAGTAGAAAAAAATATTACAGGAAATACTTTCCAACATCGATTTTGATTTGGATTCATTTGTGTAGCATGTATTGAATGCCTGCAGTGTAGTAGAAACCCACAATCATTCATTTTTTCCATCATAAGCTTCCCTTCTCACTTTCTTCTAATGTTCCATCAAAGATCCAGAAGGAGCGTTCCCCACCCCTGATCCCAACTTTTTCCCCTCCTTCTACAATATCCTCGTTTCTATACACTTGTCAAGAATGGTCAAGGCTCTGTCAAAGGAATTAACTTTTAAAAATATGTCATCAGTGAGCACATTTTAGCGTGACCTCAGTCAAGGATAAACTATCTAGCTAGAGTTTTGACCTTGAGCCACCAAGAACTTAACACTCCTGAAGGCCATTAGTGTACAAATTATCAAAGAGAAGTTAAAGTCACTTCTTTAAGGACTTGCCAAACCTCAGCCAATTTGGCATCTCCCATCTTGCTATTTGACCATTTGTAAGAAAAGAAAACATATGCACACACACTCTTAGTTTTCTAAAAGCTTGCTGTTAAGTAATTGGTTTGAGTCCATCTTCTTTCCTCTAATCCCAATCGTATTTCCTCGGCTGACTTCAGGAGTAGACCCCTCTTGGCAGGGAGAGAATTACACCGCTGTTTTCACAACTGTGGGAGAAGGTCATAGCTAACCATACTTTCTCCAAGGCTGAGCCATAAAAAAGTATGTATAGGAGAAAGTCTTTCCTATGCTCACTGGCAAATATCAAAATGCAAGAGGAGGGGAGCTTTTTTGACTTAATTTATGGTTCCAAATTAGTCAGAAGTGCCTCATACTACCTTCATCTGCTTACTATTTTCTTTTTAGTCATACTTTAAGGTATAAGGTCTTCAAATCTGGAATGAGTACAAAAAGGAGGTTGGTATATTTTTTTTCATGGACAGAGCCAGAAGGGCTGGGGGAGGATAGCTCTGGACTCCTTCTAGAATTAGAAACCTATGTCTGACATCTGACCACACTGAAAACATAGGGTGGGTAACAAAGATATTTGGCACTCCACAAGACCGAAATAGGAGTCAGAAGAATTTATTCTTAGCTCCAACAGAAACACTTATTAGTAGTGACCTTCGGAAAGTCACCAAACCTCAAGGAATCTTACAATGTCTGCATCTCTTAGGTGGGGATTACAATAGTTGCCTCATGGAAGTATGACATATAAAAATGTGATGGAAACCATGTGGGGCCATACAAATTTAAGAAATTATTAATATTACCTTTCTCCTCTTCCTGGTCTTGGTGGTATTCTCTTTTCTTTCCTTTGGTTGTATCAAAAAACATTCTTTAGGCTATTAAGAAATACAAATGAGAACATTTTAATCTTTTCATGATAAAGTGTCAATTAGTGGTATGAACCCCAAAGTACTTTCTGCCATGCATGTATTCTTCAGAGTATCTTGGTAATATTCTACAGAAAGAGAGATGCTGGAAGATCTACTGTAGGTTACTATGCAGCAGCTGGGGTGAGAGAATTTGAGAAAGTCAAAGTGCAGATGACTTAAGACTGGAAAATCTTTGAACAAAGATATATGTGTGAGTGAGTATATATGTGTGCTTGGTGTGGAAGTGCAGGGTATTGGAGATTGAAGACAGTGACTGAGCTTGTATAATACAGCAGAAATCGATGTGATTACAATTAAGATGTGGTAAGACAGTCTCTGACTAGAGTGACTAGGGTTTTCCATGAACTAGCTGTGTGTGAGCCTACATTTCCAAGTCACTGGTTTATTGGTTTGTATTATTCATTCCTTTCCTCTTTTCAATAAGCATAGAAAATCCAAAGTGGGATATATTAACTTACGTTTTTATAAACCAGCTGCATCAAATGCCTTTACTATAATGACGACAAAATGAATGTCTTTGCTACTAGTCTGATAACAGTCTCAGCACCACAGTATCTACAGTAATCTGTTCTGCCTGTTGCCTTGACCCCTGAGTACCCGATACAGTTTAGTGCTATTTTTACCCTGAGGGTTTTTTCTAATGTAGAAAAACAGGAAATTTGGACTAAGACCTTGATTTATAAAATAGAATGCCCCAGATTCCATATTTATTAATCATAAGCAGGAGTATAAAATGTTTCCTGTGCTGGATCTTTTATGCAACATTGTCAAACAAGTTGCCAAGTAAGATGTAAAATGTAAGTGAAAACTTATTCTGAGTTTTCCTTGATTAACTTTCCATTCCAACCACAGAATATGCAGTTTAAACTGATAAGCTACTAACTGAAGCAATCCTGTCTCCACTGGCTCTGTTAAAATGATTACAGATGAATCTTTCTATGAAAGCTTGCAGACAGCCTGCAGATTGAGAATGTCTATGGCCTGAAGTCAGAGAGAAAGATATAATACTACATAATTTCTTCAAGACATGGGGCCAAAGACCAGCAGTTTCAAGATTCGCTTTTAGTTATTACAGAAATAGATTTAAAAAGTTCAGGATTAAAGTGACATGGGAAATCTTGAAATTTTAGTTTCCTTTCAGATAAAACAAAAAAACCTGCAAAGAGCAATTGCATCATAGCTAAAGAAAAGAGAGATATGGCTTCTTTTATTTAGAAAGTTAAACTGTCTTGTGAATGTTGATACATGCCAATTTGATGCTGGTACATGCCAATTAGAAACTGTGCCAAGGCCACTAATATGTCACAGAAGCTGCCAGATGGCCATAAGAGTACAATTACAAACCAGGCCAGTGCTCAGCTCATGTTCCTAAGGCAAAGGCCGGGATATGATTAGCAGATCCCTTAAACTATACTGTATTATCTCCACCAGTATCAAGGTTTTTGGGAAGCGTATTTAGAAACCTGTTTCATCTTCTTATTTAGCGTATGGAGGTGTTCTCGAGGAACCCAGTTTAGTGTACTGGTTGTATTTGTGCTAGGTTTACAAAGCCAATTAACTAAAACATGACATAAATCTAGAAATAAGCTCAATTTTAAGAATATGGACTCTTTAATTCTGGGAGAAAAAACAAAAATGTAATTCTGAATCATGCAAAGGAAAAACAAACATGCTCGATGAACTGCTTTAGCCATGATATTGCTTCAGGTAAATGACAGGTTCAAATTCTTACATCATCCTAAAGGAAATGCAAAATAATCTTTGGTTTTGGAGACTAGTTACTTTAGCTGGCTGTGGTAGGATGCCAGTGAAGAGGCCAATTTTATGGGGTCAATTTCCATAGAGGTAAGATGACTTTATGGAGAAATTCAAATCCACAGTATTGAAAATTCTTACATTTAGTTAACTGCCTTATGAATGCTGCTGTTTACCTCAGGGAGGCTGGGTAGGAAGAATCCAGCCAAGCCACTAAGCATTTCTGGAAATCAATTCCAAAACTGTGTGACTTTGACAGTTGATAAGCAATGTCATTTCTTTATATGAAATGTAGCAATTTTAAATACACAGTCTGAAGAATCACACTCCCCTAAAAAAAATGTGGCTTTTAAGGGAAGCAACTAGAGCATATTTTCAATTCCTTAAATTATCAAAAATTACTTTAAGAATGATTCTCCTGGTTAAACATGGCAAATGAACCTCAAAATGCCAGTAAACTGAAAATAAAGGGCATTGAAAAGGACCTGTTGAGCAGGATCTATGTAAAACCCAAGAAACCAGGAGAAAGAACAACAGTAATGGAGAGATTTCAACAACTTTTTGGAAAATGGAAAGTGGCTGGAGCTGGAGAAAAGTGACTTGGCACAGAGGGAAAGCTAGCATCTGGGTTTCAGAAGGGGTAGAAGCTAACAATAAGTGAGTCTTTGACTCGCTGAACTCTGAGAAGGTCCAGTATTTGGAGGCACAAAGTACTACAGAGAGTGAAGGGTTAAAAAGAAAGAGATTGGCTGAAAGTTTATATTTGGAATGATTAGCTACCCCCGTCCCCTACTAGGTGGTATCTCCTACCCTGGTAGCCAAGCAACTATCCCATTACTGCTTCCTTTCACCTTGCCTGTCCTGCCAGCCAACTGGAGATCTATTCTCTTAAGAGATCAAGAGGATCAAGGCTGGGCCAGGGGAGAAAGGGCAGAGGCAGAGGCTTGTCTCCATTTCCTGCCCCTATTCCATGCTTATATATTGCAGGCAGGAGACTACTGAATGCCTCTTCGGAAAAATGTAATGGCCTAAAAGAAATACCATCAGAGAGTGACATTTGGGAGTTCCATAGTAAAAAATCCATCTTGTTATCCTATCATCCTACCATGAATACACTAATCGACAAACCCCACTCATCAATGTTTCAGTGTATCTCTCTTCAATAAGAATGGATAGCTAAGATTCATCAGTCATCTAAGGAAAGTCTCCAACACAAGAGCAAATAAATAACAAAAAGAAAAATGAACCTAGAGAAAAGTGGGATGGTACCTCAAAATAATGATAATTAATATCCTCAGAGAGATAAGGGAAGATTTTGCAACTATGAAACAAGAACAAGATGCTGTAAAAATGGGAAAGACAGTTAAGCATTAAAACAAATAAGAAAGGTGGGATAAAAATATACGAGGAGTCGGGTGTGGTGGCTCAAGCCTGTAATCCCAGCACTTTGGGAGGCCGAGACGGGTGGATCACGAGGTCAGGAGATTGAGACCATCCTGGCTAACACGGTGAAACCCCGTCTCTACTAAAAAATACAAAAAAAAAAAACCAGCCGGGCGAGGTGGCGGGCCCCTGTAGTTCCAGCTACTCGGGAGGCTGAGGCAGGAGAATGGCGTGAACCTGGGAGGCGGAGCTTGCAGTGAGCTGAGATCCGGCCACTGCACTCCAGCCTGGGCCACAGAGCAAGACTCCGTCTCAAAAAAAAAATATATATATATGAGGAAGGCATGAAGATAAAGTAGAGGCAATCTCCCAGAAAGCGATGAAAAATGAAAAGAAAAAAGTGGTGAGAAAATCAGAGAACCACCCCAAGAGATTCAATTTTCCAATAAATAGTATTATAGAAAAAGAGGTGACATAAAACAGCAGGGGGCTTGGCATGGTGTCTCATGCCTGTAAACCTAGTGCTTTGTGGGGCCAAGGTGGGAGGACTGCTTGAGGCCAGGAGTTTGAGACCAGCCCTGGTTATATAGCGAGACCGTCTCACCAAAAAAACAAAAAACAAACAAACAAAAAGGCTGGGCATGGTGGCTCACGCCTGTAATCCCAGCACTTTGGGAGGCTGAGGAGAGCGGATCACGAGGTCAGGAGTACAAGACCAGCCTGACTGGAGATCGAGACCATCCTGACTAACATGGTGAAACCCCGTCTCTACTAAAAATACAAAAATTAGCCGGGCGCGGTGGCGGGCGCCTGTAGTCCCAGCTACTCGGGAGGCTGAGGCAGGAGAATGGCGTGAACCCGGGAGGCGGAGCTTGCAGTGAGTGGAGATCGCGCCACTGCACTTCAGCCTGGGTGACAGAGCGAGACTGCGTCTCAAAAAAAAAAAAAAAAAAAAAAAGACCAGCCTGACCAACATGGTGAAACCCCTTCTCTACTAAAAATACAAAAATTAGCTCGGCATGGTGGTGCACACCTGCAATCCCAGCTACTTAGGGGGCTGAGGCAGGAGAATCGCTTGAACCCGGGAAGCAGAGGTTGCAGTGAGCCAAGATTGTGTCGCTGCACTCCAGCCTGGGTGACAGAGTGGGACTCCGCCTCACATACACAAAAAATTAGCTTGTGTGGTGGTGCATACCTGTGCTCCTAGCTACGTGGAAGACTGAGGCAGGAGGACCTCTTGAGCCCAGGAATTCAATGTTGCAGTGAGCTATGATTGCACCACTGCACTCCAGCATGAGTGACTAAGTAAGACCCTTGTCTCTAAAAAGGAGTCATCAAGGAAATAACACATGACAAAATAAAATTAAAAAAAAAAAAAAGAAGTAATATGTGACAAACTTGTGCTGCCTGAAGGAAATTTTGAACATGAAACTCCAAATTGAAAGCCCATTAGGTATAGGGTACAATGAATATGAAAAATACCCATTCCAAGGAGCATCACTATAAAATTTCAGAAAATTATGGGCAAAGAAGATTCTAAAATATTCCCCTCCAAAATATAACATACAAAATACAAAGGATCAGAAAAAAGAATAGTGCCAAGATCTCTAAAAAGCAATAATGGATATTAGAACTTAATGGAATGATGCTTTCAAAATTATGAAGAAAGTTTATTTGCAAATTAAACTTTTATACCCAGCCAAAGTATCAATCAAGTGTAAGAGTAGAATAAAGACATATTCAGATATATGAAGTCTCAAAAAATTTACATCCTACCTGCAGATACTGAAGGCTGTATTTCAGAATAC